AGATGTTTGTAACTTGCTTAACTTGGGGAAATTCTTGGGGTTTATATATCGGTTAACAATTGTTAAAGCTAAGCATCAAAGCTTAATAATTATTAGAGTGAAGCATCAAACATTAGATATCAAACATCAAGCATTAAGTGTTGAGTGTCAAGCATCAAGCATTAAGCATTAAGCATTAAGCGTCAAGCGTCAAGCATCAAGCATCAAGCATTAAGCATCAAGCATCAAGCGTCAAGCATTAAGCATTAAGTATTAATTGCTATAATTGATTTGTTCTACTTAATATAACTAAATAATAATAATAACTAATGCTAATAATAATAATAATAATAATAATAATAATAACAATTAATAAAATATATATTTATAAAACTATACTAAAATAAAATAATAAAATTTGTTCTATAACATTTCTGTCCCCTTAAGAAATTTGTTCTGCAAATTTATTTTCTAAGTCTCTAATCAAAGAAGTAAAATCTTTGTAGGTAAGCCTAACAACTTGGGTAGCAGCCAAGTATTTTGTCTAATAGATTATAGCTTTTAATCAAAGAGTAAAAATCTTTTGAATATGACAAGCTCCTTTCCAAATGTCTCGAGCTTTGCGAGCACTATTGGTTTCCTGTATCCGTTCTTTAATCTGTTCCTAATTAGCTTTATTTTCTTGAAAAAAAGTTCTCAAATAATAGTAAGCTTCAAGAGTTTTGATTGATTTTCTCTTGACTTAGCATGAGTAGAAAGTTTTTCCAAAATATCGTTAAGTTTTTCCTTCCAAGTTGTTCCTTTGAAAGGTAAGATCCGAGAGGCTTTCTAAGGTTTAAGAGGTTGCATAAGGTCTTTCTTTATTTTCACAAGAGGGTTTTGTTCATCTGATTCTTTTTTTATGATAGGAATTGAATTATTAATTGGTTCATCCAAACTTCCAATCAGTTGATTGATTTTACTTAAAGCTGTTTCTTCAAGCTGTGATGAAATATTAATAACTTGGTCTGGCACTTGGTCATCCTATAGTATTACATTTTGGGAGAAAATTCCTAAATTGTATTAAGCAGCAGGGTCATAACTCCAAACAGAAATAAAATTTTATAAGGCCTGAATAGTGTTAGGTTGCAAAATAATAGTATTCATTTTTAAATAGCCAAATTGTTAATTTAGGGAAATTTGCATGATTAGGTTGTCTATATATATATTTTAAAGTAATACAAGATTTTTAAAATGTTTTTTATTGTTTCACTCCCTTCCAAATTATATTTCTTTCAGAAATTTGCTAAGTTTCAACAACAACTATTGGTTCCCAAATCTGTTTCTTATAATATTTTGTTAATCAATCACTATTGTAATAGTTTTGTAAGATTTTTCCTTCTTTATTTTGTAATTTATAAGTGCCATTTCCTAATTTCTTGTGAATTATGAATAGTCCTAGTCATTTATTCTCAAATTTTGCTGATCTTGACATTTCTAGTTCCTTTCGTTGGATTCATACTTTGTCACCTACTTCGAATTCTTGTATTTTAATTTTTGCATCGAAGTATTGTTTCTGTTTCCGTTGCGACTTATCAGTATTGTTTCTTGCATTCTCTTGCCATTGAGGCAATTTGTCTATTAGCTCATAAGCTCTATGTAGAATACTGTCTTGTAAGTTAATATTTTCACTACTCTCTGGTGGTGGTTCAATAGGTATTAAAGCTTCAATTGGCAATGTAGCTTGTCGACCATAAATGAGTTGAAATGGAGTATATTCAGTAGTAGCATGTTTCTTTGTTCGATATGCTAATAATACAGCAGAAATATGAATGTCCCAATCATCTGTTCCTTTTACCTTAGCAAGTGATTCACAGAGTGTGCGGTTAAATCTTTCAACCATGCCGTTTGTTTGTGGGTGGTATGGTGATGAGAA